TTACTGTCTCAGACAGTAATATTACTATTTGGGACAGTAATATTATGAATATTATTTTCCCGAACAGTAATATTATTAATATTATTGTCTAAGACAGTTAAATTACTGTTGGAGACAGTAATTTAGCAGCCAATGCAGTAATATTAATTAAAATAAATTTTTTAAGAAAAAAAAAATTAAAAAAAAAAAGTCAATTAACAGTTAAATTACTGTGTCCGACAGTTAAATAACTGTTGGAGACAGTAATTTAGCAACGAATACAGTAATATTAATTAAAAATATTTTTTTTAAGAATAAAAAAAAGTCAATTAACATTTAAATTACTGTCTCCGACAGTTAAATAACTGCTGGAGACAGTAATTTAGCAACGAATACAGTAATATTAATGAAAATATTTTTAAAAAAAATCAATTAACAGTTAAATTACTGTCTCCGACAGTTAAATAACTGCTGGAGACAGTAATTTAGTAGCAAAGACAATAATATTAATTAAAATATTTTTGAAGAAAAAAAAAATCAATTTACAGTTAAATTACTGTCTCCGACAGTTAAATAACTGCCGGAGACAGTAATTTAGCAGCCATGACAATAATATTAATTAAAATATTTTTTTAAGAAAAAACGAAAAAAAAAAAAAAAAAAGTCAACGCCGGAGACCGCGGTCAACGGCGGTTGACCGGCCGGAAAAAAATTCTGGGGAAAAAAAGTTTTTCAAAAAAAAAAAAAGTCAACGCCGGTCAACGGCGGCGATCGGCGGTCTCCGGTGGTGGCGGGTCAAAATTGGGGTCAAAATTGAAATTAGGGTTAAAATTGGTTAATTGATGAAATTGGGCTAAATTGGGGTGTAAATCATGAAATTGGAGTTGAATTGAGTTTCAATGAATTGGGGGTAATTTTGGTATATATAAAAGGATTTTCCTTATTTGCAAATAAGTTTGAATGGGCTGGATTTATTTGAAAGACAAAAAAGTTGGATGTCCCTCTTTTAATTAAGTGCCCTTGTCATGGGCTTATTTGCCATTTACCCTAAAATTTAAGGGGTTATATGACAAACACCCCTCATTCAATTTTGACTTCTTGATAAATCCATTTTTTCAATTGATATTTATTATAAATCCAAATGTGTGGAATTATCCAAAATGTCCCTAATTAATATTGCTAAAATTTACCATATTATATTATTTTAAAAAATCCATTATTTTTTTGGTAGTTATGCAAATCCCTCTATTTTCTCCCTACACAATCCCCCAATTATCTCCCTGTCACACCCTTTCGGTTTTTTATTTTAAATTATTTTTTCCTTATTTATATTTTTCATATTTTTTTATTTTAATTTTAAAAAATGATTTTATTTTTATTTTTCGTTTTTCATGGTTTTTTTTTTCTTAAGTTCGATTTTTTTTTAAAAAATGTTTTTTTTTTTATTTTCTTTCCAGTTTTTTTACATAAAAACCAGTATTTATAAACATGAAAACCACTCTGTATAAAACAACTATATGAACATGAAAACCACTCTGTATAATAACTATGTAACATGAAAACCACTCTGCATAACAACTATGTAAACTTGAAAACCACTCTGTATAACAACTATGTCAACATAAAAACCACTTTGTATAAACAATTATATATACACGAAAACCACTCTATATAACAGTTACAACATGAAAACCACTATGTATAACAACTACGTAACATGAAAATCACTCCGTATAATTACAAATTCCCATGACCAACAATCATTAAAATAAAATAAAAAAATCTGAATAAAAACAGAAACATGTATTATATCTCTGCAATTATATTGGAATTTTTGAAGCTCCCAACGGAGAAAAATGAGAGAAAAAACACGTAGAGAGTGAGAAAATAAGAGGTCATTGTCGGTTGCTAAACAAACAATAACAACCCTAAAAGAGATTAAAGGGTTCTTCTTTATTTGCTTCGTTTTTGTGATTCCCATGTGGGTTGGTGTTAAATCTTGAGTTTGCCGATTAAAATGGAGGTTATTAGATAGGATAGAGATAATATGGTCATTAAATAGCTAACTAATTCCCTAATTATTAGGATCCCTTAATGGAAAAAAATATTATATATCTTTTAATATCAGAATTAAATATACTTTTTTTTCTTAATTAGGGGTATAATGGTGATAATTAAGTGTTTTTAATTAAACAAAATTATTTTGGATTTATCTGGAAAATGTAAAATAAAATTGGACTTATTGTAATGATACTTGTGTAATGAGGGAGTTTTGTCAAATTATCCCAAAATTTAATATAATATATTTGTAGATATTATATAAATACTCAAAACATAGATAAAAAATATTTAAACATAGTTATATCTCCATCATGTATATATTCTAATAAGATAATAAAAGTTTAATAATAATAAGATCATAATACATAAATATCCTTATAAAATAAAAATAAAAAGGCAATTTTTTTGAATTTACATACATTCTTGGCATACATCATTAGTTGTTTAACAATAATAATTAACATAAACAAAATAAAGCATAAACTCAATTTTTTTATTAAAATCCCAACTTTTATTTTGATTTACAAAAAAAAAAAAAAAAAAAAAAACCGATTTTCGACCGATTTTTTGCCGATTTTTGCCACCGAAGTTTGACCCACCTTAAAGGTTTGACCGCCTTGAACCGCCTCAGACCGCCTCACAGGCAAAAAACCTATTTTTCAAACATTGACACTAAAATCGTAGGACCGCCTCCGCCGATTTTTAGAACATTGTTCCCTATGCATACGTTTTCTCCTTCTTTGTTCAGTTTCAAGATTATCTCCTAATGTGTGACCGAATCCACCGCTCCGAGCAAAACTTGATATGCATCATCTAAAATCGGAGTTTGCAAAGCTCGACATATATTCTGATGCAAGTACACACTCAAGGAGTTCGCCACTTACTAATGAATCAAAATCGGAGTTTGCAAAGCTCAACATATTTTCTGATGCAAGTACACATTCAAGGAGTTCGCCACTTACTAATTAATCAATGTATATAACACTACATCAGATACATAAAGCATATATATACATATCACATGTATATAAATGTGTTGTATATAAACTTGTGAGGATTTTCAGTCAGCATCCATAATTTGGATCTACCAAATTAAGCCAACAAGCCTAAGAACTTTCTTAAAAGAAAACCCTACAAAAAATGACTAACATATTAAACAGCACAATACCTTCAAAATATCAAACCTTTGATTTAAGGGTAAATAGCACTTAACTCCCCTATGGTTACAAGCTTTTGCAGATGACTACCTTGTGCTTGTAATATCATCACATAACCCCCTTATGGTTGATGGGGTAGCTTCTGTTAGTTTTTCCATCAAACTTAACCGCTTCTGTCAAACGTGAAAGTATTTTTTTTGCAGATGACGCCCTTGTGCTTTCATTTTTGCAGATGACCCCCTTGAAGTTTGAAACACGCGGTTAAGTTTGACGGAAAAAACTAACGGAAGCTACCCCATAAACCACAAGGAGGTTATGTGCCGATATTACAAGCACAAGGGAGTCATCTGCAAAAGTTTGTAACCGCAGGGGGGTTAAATGCTATTTACCCTTGATTTAAATACGTCTTCACCTAAACATCGACTTTAAACACCAGCTACTTTCACTATTACAATCAAAAAGCAGAAAGAACTTAATTATTTTCACACAACTTAGTCTTGAAATCAGTCACGAGATCCGCATACCCTTTTTTCGTTTCAATAAAACCGAAACATATAACCGATTAAACAAATACTACTTACCAGAAAATAAACTAACCATAAACTCAAGAGAAGGCTCATCCTTATGTTGCTCCAACTGTCCTTTTTTTGCCGAGGTTGGGGGAAACCAGAGTCTCGACGTACGTTTTTACAAAGTAACCATCGGAAACAAGAGTCGCCGTATATTTCTTTTCCCCCACATTATATACAAATAAATTAACATGTTCAGTGCTAGATCTGAAAAAGATATCCCCATAATCACTAACCCCAACCAAGTACATGTATTGTATATTACCGGCAGGGTGAGGTATGTTCATCGACTTAGTCCATGATTCCTTAATCCCATATTCCTTCATTATCCAAACCTCGTAAATTACACAGAAGCCCTCACAGTTTCCACAAATTGCAGACAAACACCTATCTACCACGCCAAGCCCACATAGGTGATTCTGCGATGTTACAGGCATTGCTATTTCTCCGACAGATTTTTGGCCCAAATCGTACGTAAAAACGACCCAGTAACTATTTCGGTTCGCAGGCCAATGGACTATTCCACAGAAAAAGGTTCCCTCCTCGTAAGGTTTGAAAACTAATTGATCTAAATCGATTTCTTGGGCTGAAAAATTACTCGAGTCACCATCCACGTAGAGGGTTACGAGCAGCGTATGATTATTTGCGAGCTGCTTTCCGTGTGGCCTAATCCCTAAGATAAGCTTGTACTCGTCGTCGGAGGATTCTCTTCCGAACCAGGACACGAAGTTATCGAATTTCAATTTTAAATCGGCGGTTTTTGATACTCTGGTAGCAGGATTCCAGATGCGGATTCTAGTAGCGTCATCGTGATTCTGCAAGTAACAGAGCAAACCATCGAAGGCTCCGAAGAAATACGCGATGGCTCCCGGAGGCAACGGCAGCTCTTCGGTATCGTCTTGGAGACCCTTATAGACAACGCTTTTAGAATGTGGAATGAAGATCCTACGGTGGGAAGGGCTGGAAATCGATTTCTTGAGATGCAAGTTAATCAAGTGTTGGCTGGAGATTATCGAATTCCATTTTTTGGAAACAGATTTGAATCTCATAAGATCTTTAACGTGGAGGCGTGACAGAATTTCCTCGATAACATCTTCCGGTAGTTGCTGCATGATTGTGTCGAATGATAGACTAGATTCTCCCTCTCTTCTTATGATCTTTTGTGTTTAAATTAAAAAGATAATTTTAATCCTCCCCCTCCAATTTACAAAAGCCTGCATCACATCCATATACCAAGTGGAGGGATGAGTTATTAAAAATAGGGTAAATTACGGCCACTCCGAGGTAAAGTTAAATTACAGAAAAAACCCTTTGGTTTTGTTAATTACAACCACCCTATCAACTATGAATCTTCTTACACATTCACCCTTATGGTGTCAAATTCAACATAATCTTCTTGATTACGTGAAATGTTCTCTACTTAGTACATGTTTTGTGCAAAAATGCAGTTTCTGATGCACTACCACAATCTGATATTTACAAGCCAAGAGGCACATCTTACTTCAAAAAGTGGAGCTCGAATGGGGTAAAACGGGTATATACTGGAAAACATTCCACATAATCTAGAAGATTCCACCAAAATTTGACACCATTCAGCAATGGTGTACGTGTAAGAAGATTCATAGATGAGGGTTTTTTTTGTAATTTGACCTTACTTCAGGGTGGCCGTAATTTACCCTTAAAAATAATTAAATATATATAACTCAAAATGTAAATAAAATTTTGCACATTTCACAAACCAATAGTAAAAATATAACAACAACTTCATAAAGTATCTACAATAATTTAATCAAAGAAAATACTCCTTTTAATTTGAAAACCCTAAAAGTGTGGAATCAAATAATTCAACTTAAGAGAAAGGAAAAAAAAAAAGCATAAATCACTGGTACAAAGCAAAATTGGGGAGAAGTGGTCTCCAAGATGTGGCTATAATTTGAAATTCGAAAAACAAAAATCTTCAAATTAGGGGTTTTAAGCATCGTCTCTTACCTGAGGAGCAAACGGTGATGGAGGAGAGAGAGAGAGAGAGAGTATATTCCGTTCCACCCCTTAGAAAAAGTTGGATCTTGTAAAAAACGAAGGGCCATTTCATCTTAAGGGGCATTTAATCGACGCATTAAAAATAATGTATCGGCTTAGCTCAACTTGACACATAATTTTTAATTTGATAAAATGGACTTTATCCCCTATAAATTTGATAAAAAAGTCTTCGGCGGTTAATTGGTGAAATTGAACTAAATTGGGGTGTAAATCATGAAGGAGTTGAATTAGGTTATCAAGGAGTTGAGGGTATTTCTGGTGTATATATAAAAGAGTTTTCCTTCTTTGCAAATAAGTTTGAATCAGGTGGATTTATTTGGAAGTCAAAAAAGTTGGATGTCCATTTTTTAATTAAGTGCAATTATCATGGGCCTATTTGCAATTTACGCCAAACTTAAATTAATCATCTTCCAAATATTAACGTTCTTTTGTTTTTGTTTTTGATTTTTTTTTTTAGAGGGACGTGGCACTTGTTGCTAGTATTGTTTTTGAGGAGGGAGTACTTATAAGCTATGTAGTATAGACACGGAAATGGCGATACGGCAAAACGGGAAACGAACACGGGGAAATGCATGCCCCAAAAAAGGGGTACCTAAACTTGGGGGAAATGTGTAAATAGTATAAATATAAGCGTGTGTGTGTCTATATATATATATATATATATATATATATATATATATATATATATATATATATATATATATATATATATATATATATATATATATATATATATATATATATATATATATATATATATATATATATATATATATATATATATATATATATATATATATATATATATATATATATATGTATGTATAGGTCCGGCACTTATCATATTCGCTGAGATATATATAAATATATTTTATTTTTTTTAAAAAACCAGTTTGTTATATATATATAAATATATATATATATATATATATATATATATATATATATATATATATATATATATATATATATATATATATATATATATATATATTTTAATTTTTTTTAAAATTATTTTTTTTTAATTTTTCTTTTTTAATTTTCAAAACAATATGTTTACAGTACTGAAAATAACTACATGTAGCTATAGTACCTATAGTAATTCATAGTTATGTTCGTTTTCTTTCCCCATGTTTTTAGTCGATCAATTGTATGCACACACGAATACTGACTTATACAAAATAAATTCATAAAACCCCAACAAAAATTTACAAATTTCAAATTATAAATACCATCAGAACCAATAAAAATACAAATAAAAAATACACAAATATACGCATATGTAACTACATGTTACTATAGTAAGGTATAGTAATGTACAGTAATGTATACAGTCTATTGAACAAATCAGATGTAACTTCAAAAGAAAAAATTTGACACCTTCAAGGAAATGATCAATGGCCTTCATTAAGCTGCAATTGCAAAATCAAAACAAAAAGAAATTATTTTAGTGCAAATCAACAAAATTTGAAAAAAAAAACATCAAAACACTCAAAAATCAACAAACACTAAGAGATCGAGAGATAGAGAGATGTTATTGCTGGGAAATGCAAAAAAATATAGAAATAAATCTGAAAAGATAAAAATAAACGAAATTACCATCAAAATATAGATCCCGACGAGAGGAATCCAACGGTGGATGACCCGTCAAATTTCGACGGGTGGAACACAAAAATAAAGCTCCGGCAAGACCACCGTCCTCGAGTGAAAAAAAATTGCAGAAACAGATCCGCGCTCGAAACTGAATGAAATCACCACCAAAAGAAAGAGCTCGACGAGAGGAATCCAACGGTAGTTAAACCATCGAATTCCGACCACCGGAGAGAGAGTTATGGCTCCAGGAAGCAATTTCGCCGGTGAGAGGTTTCTAGAGGCGGGATTTTGAATCTGGGAGAAGAAGAGAGAGACCGTGAGTGGCTAGGGTTAAAACTGATTTTAGAAGGGTATTATAGGAACTTCAGGGTAGCCCAGGGGGGTATGTCAAAATATTTTCGAAATGAGGGGGGTTTCCCCTAAAGTGTAATTTTGTTGCTTCGCTAATTATTTTGATAATAATATTTATTTTGAATATATTTGTAGATAAGTATATAAAAAGCAACAAAATTATTTGGAAAAATAATCCAAACATGTTCCTAACTAATTATTTGGACATATTTTGGGTCTATAAAATAATCCCATATATATATATATATACTATATCCATATATAATTTTTTATGTATATATAAATTCTTTTTATATACTTATCTACAAATATATTCAAAATAAATATTATTATCAAAATAATTAGCGAAGCAACAAAATTATTTGGAAAATTATTATCCAAACATGTTCCTAACTTTTTAGAAATTGCAAAATGACCCATAAGGTGTCCGTTAGGTGTTCTAGAGTGTCGGACACGAAACATGTCCGAAACACGGATACATAAACAAGTTCTACCAGGTTAATGAACCCAAGTTCCATGAATCCGTTTGCATCAAGGGGTTTGTCCAGATTCGGTGTCAAAGTACGCACTTAAGTAAAATTACGCAACACAACCAAAAGTTTAATTCGTAATTGAACTAATGAATCCGGAGCGCATGAAGAATTTGTGAAATAACGACGATCGATAAGACGATAACGCTGAATATTGAATATTAGTAGTTTGCGCAATATAAAAAAATTAATTCTTCAGATTAAATTGAAATTGTAATTAAAATTAATAACCAAAAAAAAAACTCAAGAGAAGAGGCTCAACCTTCTATTGCCGCAATCGTCGTCCTTTTTAGGCCAAGTCCAGGTGAAACCAGAGTCTCGACGTACATCCTTATGTAGTAATTACCACCGGAAACAAGATTCTTCGTGTATTTATTTTCCGCCACATTATATATTGTTAGAAATTTTATCGTACATACATACGAATCCCAAGAACCAACATGCTTGAATCAACGAAAATTATAAAGAAACATAAACACGGAAGCGTACCTTACATCATGTAATCGAATCTTCGAATCTCCACCGGATTTGGGACAGGTCTTCCAAAGAATCCGCAGTTCCATAATTTTCTCTCTAACGATGGATTTTAGAAGAGACGGAATGATTGCGTTTCTTTGGGGACCACGACCCTTTATATAACTGTAGAGTCCAGTTATATGATAATTGTGATTCAGCCCCATCAATAAATCACAACTAAGCCCTAATTGTCTCTACACATTAGGCCCATAATTATAGTTTAATACCCATAAGTCCAACCCAATAACCTTTATTAGATCACAATTAATTTAGACTTTCTTTAAGATAGCCATACACATTTACGTCACATATGTGAGCCCACATAACTATTGAAATAATTCCAACAATCTCCCACTTGGGCCACATATGTTATATACCTTATAAATGTGTACACATTATGAGCTCAAAATTGCTATCATATAAAAAGGTATTCCTTACAATCTCGTCCATTGACCATACTAATATAGGACTAAAGAGGCTTTCGTCACATTGAGCGTGTCTAAACCCAACAGTAATCACGTATACCAATATAGCCAAACGACATAGATCAAATCATGGTGTGTAGCATGGAAATTACATATAATGTGATCTTAACATCATGCCTATTTCCAACTGGTCCTACTTTAAACTTTATTGAGACCAAATATTAACACAACTGTACAAAGTGCAGCCAAATACTTTATTTCTGCAGAAAACCAAAATAGACAAATTGTGTCCAAACATGCCATACAGCTACCAAAATGTGTATATTTATACACTTACATACAAACTCCCACTGAACCATAATATCCTTAAATGATATAACACCTACATGAGCAATGCTCATGAAATACCTTATGTGTTAATCCTTTAGTAAGCGGATCTGCAATTGTGGAGTTTAGCTTAAAATGCTCTATGTAATATTCACTTTGTACCTTTAACAATATTAAAGAACTTTACAAGCTCTTGTTGTTGTTTGAATATAAAACTGTTAAGTATTGTCACCGCATAAATTAAAATGTGCAGCCTAGTGATAAAAGTTTATAGTATTATTCCAAAATAAGATGCCAAAAATTACCATAAATTCATAACCATCGTGAAAAGAGCTTAAAGTGTTTGCTTAACACCCATGTCGAAATAGCTCAATCACTTAGGTCTACATTAACCAAAATGGATCTATACTTTATACACATCATAAAACTCAAATCAGAAATAAACCACACGATCTCCCTAAATATCTGATTTTGATAAATGAGCATATATATATAACTTACATTCCCTATAATTACTGTATAACCCATTTGGCTGCTTTGCTAAATGATCCACTTTATAGGGTTATTCAAATATCTGCCTAACTTTATGCACGTCTTAACCGAATGCGCACATTCTTTTACTTTAAGAATATTTATTGGGCATTGAAATGAGACTAAACAAGTCTCCTTTTGTTGTGAGATTATCTCCCACTGATCCTTGGGCATGTACAATCATTAACTTTATTTATCTCAAAATGCATATGAGATAATTAGCTTAGGATTGTAATATCATTAACGGAAATTTTAATTTCATTAATGGACTACTTTAGTTTGCAATCACTATCCTTTAAATTTTTAAATATTAAGATTTTATGGTTGCACTTTATTGTTCCATAAATGTTACCATTTGAGAAACATATTCCTTGTGTCCATAAATCTCTTAATAGAGTCGATATGAGTGAAATCTTTAATGACTAACGTACTATATATCTTTCAATATTGCCCATTTGAATTACATTTGGTCTCAATTATTTGTAACCAAATAAATTCACACCTTATGGCAATTCGATAAGATCCTAATGTATTGTCATTCTAAATTCTAACTCATCTTTAATGGTTTATTCTCTTACGGTTGTTGAGTTTGCTCTCTGTAGTGACAATTACCATAACTTGATTTGGGGAATTGTTCAACATTGTCTTATCAAAACTCCAAATCTACTTTTCAAACAATGACAAGCATAAAAACATGCATATTGTCAAAAGCAGTATTACGAATCAAATTGATTCATCTTTAAAGACAATGTCTCTAATCTAAATTTCTCCCCTCAAACTCAACATCCTTAAAAAGTTTTTAAATTTCCCCGTTTAAAAATAATATATTGCAGCACTTAATGTTTCTCCTAAATGTACATTAGCGAAGAAGAATAATTTATCATACTTCTTTGAATGTCCTTGAATGTTCTATTCTTGAAATTTGTACCATTTTAAATTGCTTATGCAAGATTTTACTGTATGAGACTTTTACTTAAGTTATAGGTCAATTTTGAATTATGAAATAGACCAAGCTTAATGTTTTCAAATGAACAAGCTAACCGAATTTGTTCAAGAGAAAATCTAAATCAATCTAATGACGGTACCAAATGTCTATTTCATAATTCAAAAGAAACCTAAGAGTCCTCATAGCCCCAATCCCAAATGTCTTACATAACCTTTATAGATGTATATCTTTCAATATCAATTAACACTTACGTGAATAGTGTAACCCATGATCTATTCACTAAATGTGTCTAGGTACAAAGTCAAAATAAAATTTATAACAAATTAAAGTGAGAAACAAACATGATTACGTTTCTCAACGTACCTGAGATGTAAACTGCAATTACAGATATTTATCTTATGGTGTACTAGTCAAAATTAGCACTTAGTCTTTTCTCCCTTAATTATTTATTCTTCGTGTGTACGGTCAAAGTTTTATTCTTTATGTATTACAACAAACCTTATATTGACCGTTCACGAAGAAAAATAAATTAAACAATATCCACTTTCAAGTCAGTGAAACCACACTAACTGAAGTGCTATAATTCAAAATAAGATTAGACTATTACTTGATGTGCTCATTTATGTTCCTTTTCTTTATAAGCAATAGATATCAAAATCTAATTTGTTGCAACTTTATCGTTTTAAAATAAAACGTATCCTTACTATCTTTAAGGAACCTTCTAGTACGTAACCCCTAATTAAACCTTATGCCCCCAAAAGTTATTTAAAATAGATGCACCTAATGATCTTAAATTTTATAATTAGAACGATGATATACTCTAAGTTCTTCTATTGTTCTATCCAAAAAAAAAAAAAAAAAAGATCTATGCACCATAATAAATAATAATAAGAATAATAAAAAAAAATTGTGCAATTAAGCACAAAAGTGTTATAGGCAGACAATGTGTAAGTAGATAAATAAATTAAATAGAGAATGCAAATAAAATCAATATGCTCACATTATGATCCAAAGTTTGACTTTGAAATTTTAAATAACTATGGAATACATCTCAAGATGCCTAGCACAACATTAATATCAAGTCGTAGGGACAGTAATATTAATTGTAAGTGACACTCTTATTGTAGTAATCAAACATTGATAATAAATCCTGTCAAATAATAAGTTCATCGTAGGGATGTAACTTTTATTCACATGGAGCCAAATAATTATCACATGTTTATTACCACAGTTGCATATGTGGTTCGGCCAAGTATTAACCTACCGTAGGGGTAGTGTTAAAACTCGCATGAATTCACATACACATAAACATCTTGACATTCTCAATTAGCTAATCTACACAGAGATGTCACGTAGGGTGGCGTCATGCTTCAATTAGTTCTTTTAAATGTCAGACAAACTTAATAACAAGTCATTAGATATACCAAAAAATTACTCAAAAAATTAAAAGTCGTTGTTGAACGCTAAGGCTCTAAAGACCTCATTGTATTGTTTTCAAATCAAACTCAGTAATATGGTTATTCATAAAAATGAGTATGAATTGAAAACATCAAATCCATCTTTATTTTGAATTTGAGCTAAAGATGATGTGGGGCTCACAATTCAACCTTATTTAGATTTAGAAGCCAAAATAAATTATAACCAATAAATCTAACCTTATATGGATTTGAAGCAAATTAATATTTCGATTTAGACTTAAAGCAAAGGTTTCGAGTCAAACACCGAATGAGTCAAATCTTATTTGGTTAATAATAACCATTATCCATATTTTGACTCGATAACGATTAAAGGATAATGGATCAGAAGCTTATTTAATTAAAAATAATTTGTATATATCCTTAATTTTGACCCATTACTCAAAAAATTTAAGTCTAAACGGCATAAACTTTATCATCTGAAAATTCCCTAAATTAGCCTTAGAAAACCGAATTTGAAATTCAAAATGAATTTCACTGTATTGACCAAACAAAACCTTAAATGAATTTAAAAGAATTCATATATTAGTTCGGTCCCTCAAAATAATTGAATTATTTTAAACAACCCCAAAACCTTAAATCAACCTTTTTTTTTTTTTTATTCCTTAAAATTGCCCTTGCCCCAAATCCAGAAAATCTTTCAACTTAAAGGACTTAACTGAAATTTTGAAAGAAAATCCTTTGAGAGAAAAGGGACCTAAGATTCAGAAATACTTAATTTGAGATTTATAATATATTTTCGAAAAATATATGACTGTTTTGGGAGAAACTTTAAAAATGGGGACTGAAATGCAGTTTTCGAAAGCTTGAGGGCTGTAATACAGATTTTTCATTATTTCAACTTGACCCCGGCTGAAAATGAGGAATAACCAAAATATGGACCAAATTGAAATATTGCTAATATCTCAAACTCAAATTAGGGGACCAAATTTGAAATTACAGAAACCCTAAATCTGGGACCCAATTGCAATTTCCCAAAAACTCCATTAAAGCCAATTGCCTTCTTCTTCCAGACCCGCCCGCCGTCACCACCTAAATCTCCTTTAGACTTTACAGCCAATCAACACCACCGTCGCCGGAAAATACCAAATTCTGGCTCATGTCTACGCGGCGGAGTCCACCGCCGGCGATCCAATATGGATGATGGACATGGAGGGCTGGTTAAGGATTAACCGTGGTGGGTCCTTAGGGGTGGCTCCGCCGGGAAGACCTAAACAGCAGCCACCCTCACCATCGAATCGATTGAATTTCAGATTTGTGCCGTAAAACTTAATTCTTCAACCCATTGGATTGAAACCAAATAATTTAACCTTAAATTTGAAATTAATCAACCCAAAAAGTGAATTTATCATACAACAACTGTTAAAAGATTCTTATAGAATCGTATTGAAAAACGAGATTCAGATTCACATAAACAACCCAATTTCCAGATTTGTAATTCAGCAATTAAAAAAAACACAATTCTGAAATTAATTCAACAATTAACAAACAACAGGCCGGATGAATTTTAACAAATTAAGAAATTGTCACATAACATAACACAATTCGAAGTTCATAATCGGACCATAATTTTTCAGAATTGAATCCACAAAATCATATTTCGCATAACTTCGAAATAAGGAAATATAATAAACATAATATCCCCGATAATTCAAGACATGGTGGCTCTGATACCACTTGTTAGAAATTTTATCGTACATACATACGAATCCCAAGAACCAACATGCTTGAATCAACGAAAATTATAAAGAAACATAAACACGGAAGCGTACCTTACATCATGTAATCGAATCTTCGAATCTCCACCGGATTTGGGACAGGTCTTCCAAAGAATCCGCAATTCCTTAATTATCTCTCTAACGATGGATTTTAGAAGAGACGGAATGATTGCGTTTCTTTGGGGACCACGAAACTTTATATAACTGTAGAGTCCAGTTATATGATAATTGTGATTCAGCCCCATCAATAAATCACAACTAAACCCTAATTGTCTCTACACATTAGGCCCATAATTATAGTTTAATACCCATAAGTCCAACCCAATAACCTTTATTAGATCACAATTAATTTGGACTTTCTTTAAGATAGCCATACACATTTACGTCACATATGTGAGCCCACATAACTATTGAAATAATTCCAACATATATAACTACATTATGATTATCACGTTGAGTCCAAGACCTGAAAAGGATGTCCCCATAGTCACTAACTCCATCCAAGACGAGATTCCGTATACTATCACCGGGAGGTTCGGGTATATTCATCAACTTAGTCCAAGATTCCTTAATCCCATATTCCTTCATTACCCAAACCTCGTAAATCTCACGACTGCAATCTTCACATACTACAGACATGCATCCATCTATAACACCAATAATGCCACGCTTTTGTGGGTTTACAGGCGTAGGTATTATTTCTCCGACACATTTTCGGCCCAAATTGTACGTAAACATTACCGATGACGACGTATGATCGAGATCCATAACCGTGTCGGCTCGGGTCACAAGCCAATGGACTATTCCATTGAAAAGGGTTCCGTGCTCGTAAAAATCGAAAGCTAATTGATGTTCATCTATATTAATATCTTATGTTGAATAATATACCGAGTCTTGATTGCAATCGTCGACGGATAGGGCGACGAGCTGCATGCGAAGTACTTCTTCTTCGTCTTCTCCCACTTCTTCTTCTATGCTACGTGCCATAACCCCTAAGACAACCTTGTACACGTCGTCATCGGAAGATTCTCGTCCGAACCAGGATATGATATTATTGATTTTATTATTAACATTCACAGTTTTCGATACCCTTGTGGCTGGATTCAACATGCAGATTGTTGTACGAGCGTTGTAATTGATTATATGACAGATAATACCGTCGGAGGATATTCCGAGGAAATATATGATGGCTTCTTCAGGCCATGTCAGCTCCACTTTGATATCATCACGAACCAAGATCAAATGGCGGGAAGCGCTCGATATTGATTTCTTGAGGTGCAAGTTAATGAAGTATTGGGTGGAGATTATTGAATTCCATTTTTTCGATACGGATTTGAATCTCAAGAGATCCTTAACATGGAGTTTTGACAGAATTTCCTCCAACACGTCTACATGCAGTTGCTGAATCATTGCTTTAATGGCAGATTTTTATCTCCCTCTGTTTTTGCCTGTTATATATAATATATATCAAGAGGCGGCTAATATGAAACCCTAGTTGACAAACACAATGAGTTGAAGAAATATTTGGAGGATCGTTAATTTTAAAGAAATTAACTAAAATATTAATTTTGTTGTAAATCGCCCTAATGGTATTGCTTTTCGGTTTGATGATTGTGGAAAATAAAGTATAGCAACAATAATAAAGGATAGAGAGAGAATGCAAAGACAAAAATCCGTAGAGAGAAATTAATAAGGGTGTAAATATGGGGGAGGGAGAATTCCATTATATAGGTGAAAAACCACCGGGAGTTACAAGAGAAGTTACACAAGAGGTTATTCTACCACTAACACATAATGGGAAGACATGGGGTAGGTTAGTGATTTAGTGGGAAGTTGGGTGGTTGTGTTAGGAAACCCCACACACATTATTTACAACACTCCCCCTTGGGGATTCCTATCAAAACCACTATTGTGCATTTCATGTTGCCTCATTAAAACCTTCCGAGTAATAAAACCCAGTGGGACAAAACAACCTCGGTTAGGAAAAAGAGTACAACGCACAATCTTTCCAATCAGCTATATTGCCTCGTTAAAACCTTTAGCGGGTAACCAAAAACCCTGTGGGAAAATAAATCCCGCAAAAAGGAAAAAGAGTATACTAGGGCATCTAGGTATCTTCTGGATACTGGGTACCTACAGGGTACTCCCCCTCAAGTTAACTCCCCCTAATGTCTATAAGGGAGCGAGCTCAGATAATCTACGCAGGCCAATAGCCTTAACATGCTTTTCAAAAGTGACTTTAGGTAATGACTTAGTAAATAAATCAGCACAATTATCCTGACTTCTAATCTGCTGGATCATTATTTGTTTGAGCTCTTGTTGTTGCTGATTGAAGAAAAACTTTGGAGCTATATGCTTGGTGTTGTCACCTTTAATGAAGCCCGTCTTCATTTGCTCAATGCACGCTGCATTATCCTCGAATATGATCGTAGGATCTTCTGTGGTAGCCAATCCACAGGAATCTCGAATATGCCCATTCATGGCTCTAAGCCATGTACATTCACGCACTGCCTCGTGAAGTGCTAAAATCTCTGCATGATTCGATGAGGTGGCAACTAAGGTCTGTTTTGTAGACCTCCAAGACACAGCTGTGTTCCCAATGGTAAACACATATCCAGTTTGGGAACGAGCTTTGTGTGGGTCTGACAGATACCCAGCGTCAGCATAACCCACAAGCTTTGCATCCTTTAATGATGCATAGGGATAGAACAAACCCATGTCTATTGAACCCTTAAGGTAACGAAATACGTCTTTTACACCATTCCAATGGCGGCGTGTTGGTGCTGAGCTAAACCTTGCTAGCAAATTTACCGCAAATGCGATATCAGGTCGAGTACATTGAGCTAAGTACAATAATGCGCCTATTGCACTTAGGTACGGCACTTCAGGTGCTAACACTTCTTCGTCCTCCTCCACAATACGGAACGGATCTTTCGACCTATCCAATGATCGGACTACCATAGGCGTGCTCGATGGTTTCCCTTTATCCATATTAAAGCGTCTTAACATCTTCTGGATGTAGTTCGATTGATGGACCAAAATTCCATCAGCACGGTGTACTATCTCAAGTCCGAGACAGAAATTAGTCCTACCGAGATCTTTCATCTCAAACTCATGTTTTAGGAGTTGGGCTGTTTCACGGACTTCTTCAGGAGTCCCAATCAAATTCATATCATCAACATAAACTGCTACAACAGCAAACCCAGAACATGTTTTCTTAATAAACACGCAAGGACAAATATCATTGTTCACGTATCCCCTTCCGAGCAAGTATTCACTTAGGCGATTATACCACATTCTTCCAGATTGTTTCAAGCCATAAAGTGATCGTCTCAACCTAACTGAGATCGTGTTCCGTGGTCTGGAACTAATTGCTTCGGGTAATCGAAGTCCTTCAGGAACTTTCATATATATACTTGTATCTAGATCCCCATATAGATAAGCTGTGACCACATCCATGAGCTGCATAGTCAGTTCCTCGGATACAACCAAACTGACTAGATATCTGAATGTAATAACATCCATAACAGGAGAATATGTCTCCTCAAAGTCAATCCCAGGTCGCTGAGAAAATCCTTGTGCTACGAGACGAGCCTTATATCTCATAATCTCGTTTTTCTCATTTCTTTTCCTTATGAATACCCATTTATATCCCACGGGTATAACTCCAGGAGGTGTAGGAGCTACCGGCCCAAACACTCCTCTTTTTACCAATGAGTCAAACTCAGCCTGGATTGCTTTTTCCCAATTCGGCCAATCATCCCTCTGTTTACATTCATCAATTGATCGAGGCTCAATATCATCACTCGATACAATTTCAGTAGCTACTGTGTAAGCAAACACATCATTGATGATTATTTCATCCCGATGCCACACCTCATTCATGCATGAATAACTAACCGAGATTTCTCTATTCTCGGGAATGGATACAAATATCGAGGCGTCCCCCGATTTCGTCTCCAGGACGGATCCATAGTCCGGAACTATTTCATGAGATGGATCGGGTGGGATCCCATTATTGCTATTGCTAACCTCATTCAACTGTTGGGCATTCATCCGCTTCCGGGGATGAGAATCCTTTGATCCAATTGGTCTCCCCCTCTTCTGGGCAGGGAGATATGATTGGTTAGCAGGGACTGATGGCCTTCCCACGTTTTGTCCTTCTGGGACTTCTATCCTTGCAGGCACGTCTGCAGCTGGTATATGAGATCTCGTCACTTTTTCTAAGTCAGAGAATGAGTCTGGCATATTATTGGCTACTTTATGTAGATCTATGAGTCTACGTACTTCAAACTCTCTGACTGAAGTAGGGGGATCATGATGAGACACAGTGGGGTCATTCCATACAACTTCACGCCGTTCTTCAGGAACGTTAGTGTGAACGTTCTTTCCTCCCCCTAACGGCGGGAAGACGGTCTCATCAAAGTGACAGTCCGCGAATCGAGCGGTAAAGAGATCGCCTGTCAAGGGTTCTAAATATCGTATTATAGATGGTGATATGTAACCAACATAAATGCCCAATCTACGTTGAGGTCCCATCTTGGTCCGTTGTGGCGGAGCAATCGGTACATAAACTGCACACCCAAATGTGCGTAAATGAGAAATGTTTGGTGTACTTCCGGACACCAACTGTAACGCTGAATATGGTTGGGTTGCAGTGGGCCTCAATCACAATAACATAGCTGCGTGCAATATTGCATAGCCCCAAGCAGAGATTGGAAGTTTGGTGCGCATTACCAAAGTTCGTGCAATCCTCTGTAAATTCTTAATAAATGCCTCTGCAAGGCCATTTTGGGTATGAACATGCGATACATGATGTTCTATGTCAATACCTAAAGACATGCAATATTCGTCGAAAGACCGCGACGTAAACTCTGCAGCATTATCCAGTCGAATGGACTTAATGGGATAATCTGGATAGTGTGCTCTCAATCTTATTATTTGAGAGAGGAGTTTAGCATAAGCAGCGTTCCTCGTAGACAACAAATCGACCTGTGACCACTTAGTCGAAGCATCAACCATCACCAAAAAATATTTAAAAGGTCCACATGGTGGTGAGATGGGGCCACATATATCTCATTGGATTCGTTCCAAGAAACCAAGAGAATATTTACTAGTTTGTGCATAAGCTGGCTTAGGATCAAGTTTTCCAATAGAACAGGGTACACATATCTTATCATTGTGTACAAGATCCTTATTTGTTAGTGGATGCCCAATAGATGTGTTAATCATTCGGCGCATCACACTTTGACCCGGATGTCCCAGTCGGTCATGCCATAGAAAATATTTGCTTTGATCACCAGACTTCGAGCAATCGACAAGGTGTGCTTCTGGCACTCGAATTTTGGTCCTATATAACCCTATCGAAAGTCCATCTAATTTTTCCAAGGTACGCTTCTGGCCGTACACGTTAGAGGTGATGCACATATATTCGATCCCCTTTTCATCGGTTGTTTCAACATGATAACCATTGGCTCGAATATCTTTAAAACTCAACAGCGTTCTACTGGAACGTGGAGAATAAAGAGCTTCTCTAATGGTCAGAATTGTGCCATGAGGTAACATAATATGGGCATTACCATAACCATCTATTATACTAGATGTGCCTGATATAGTAGTCAAAGAAGTCTTACTAGACATGAAACTAACAAAATATGACATATCCCTAAGAATAGTGTGCGTTGTCGCACTATCTGCCAGACATTCATCCCCACATGCCATGTCTAGAAAGATAAATAAATCTAATCATATATTCCGCAATTTAAAATACTTTAATAAAATCCAAACAAGATAACTCTACCGAGTACCATAAAAACTGAATTAAAACATAACCACATAAAATATAGTCCAGAAAATAAAGCACAAACATAATCCAAATACGAAATTGGTTCATAAGCATGACCAAATAAACAACATAGCTTAAAATTGATAAACTAGAAACATAGAAGAATATAATGTCTAAACTCATAAAATAACACTCCAATCATATTCCAAACTGGGTCATTGGGTCAGATATGCCCAGATTTGGGAGTCGAGCAATGGGCTCCTCATTGAGAACGTCTATCTCAACCAGGTTGGTCTCCGGTGGTGCATTGTTATTTACACTACCAATCATAATGTTCCTCGCACGACAGGTGCGTGACCAATGCCCAGTTCCACCACACCTATGACATGTATCTCTATTCTGATTTTGATTCTGATTCGGGGCTCTATTCTGCTGCGCACCTCTAGGTCGAGCATTGTTACCTCCTCTTGGCATATTCCCCCTTTGCCCATACTGTGGGGGACCATTAGGTGGCCTATTATAAGGAACATGTCCGCCCCTATTACCTCTTCCCCTCACTCGACGATTGAACCCACGGCCTCTGCCTCCACCACGATTGTTTCTGTTGACCAAATTTGCTTCTGGCAAAGGTTGAGGATTTCGATTGACCAAATTTTCTTCTGGCAAAGGTCGAGTACCAACTGGTCGAGCCTGGTTGTTCTTCAAAAGAAGATCAAGGTTCTTCTCGGCAAGGAGCAGAACTGTGACCAACTCTGGAAACTGAGTATAGTTCTTGGCTCTGTACTGTTGAGATAGTATCATATGTGAGGCAGGGAATGTAGAGTACGTCTTCTCCAGAATCTCAGCATCAGTTAGTTTCTCTCCACAAAACTCCAGGGTGGATTTGATGCGACATACTTCAGAGTTATACTCGTTAACGGTTTTGAAGTCCATAAACCGTAAGTGAATCCATTTGTTTCTTGCTTCAGGCAAGAGGATTGTCTTTTGGTGATCAAATCGACTGGCCAGGGCATCCCATAGTATTTGGGGATCCTCAATCGATGAGTAGTCTAGGCGGAGGACCTCATCTAAGTGCCTCCTAATCAGAATCATGGCTTCAGCCTTCTGGGCTTCGTTAAGCAAATTTTCCTTAACGATTGCCATCCTCAATTTCTTACTAGTGAGATGGATCTTAACATCCATTGTCCAACTCACATAGTTCTCACCAGATACATTCAAAGGGGTGAAATCAAGTTTGCTCAAATGTTCCATCCTAATATAAATAGGCAAAGCATAAATGCAAATCAAATATTGTCAAGAATTTACACGTAAAGAAATAAACATTGGGCCAGTCAAGTTAAATTTTATATTGTAATCTGATCATAACATAGCATGCTCGATAAATCATATAATTGATCATGTTATAACCATAAATAACATGTATGATACTTCCTGATTTAATTTGAAAAATATTTCAACAGTTAATGATTATTAAACTAACCCGTTCATCACCGCATGTATATACATGGATTTAAATCTGTTTTAATATACAATTTCTTACCAATGAACCATTCACAGTGGTTTTCGCATCAGGTAAGAGAAGTATTCGAAATCAAGAGGCTAGTGAGCAAGACATTATAATATACTGACATTTCTAAAAAGATAATCAATATCCGACAGTAATCACAAATAAATAATCATGCATACTGACATATATTCAAGCCTTTCGTATTGTATATCCACATACAATCATTACATGAAATATTAAAGTATTATATATTGAAAAACATGGTATATTTGAGGATATGTATAATGCACGTAGTCATGATATTAATATGATAAATAATGACGAGATCTCATATTCTTCATCTATTTCATGACATTTCAAATTTTATCTAGGATGCTTTTCATAAAAAAAATCATGGGATTAGGGCTTACTCGAAAATTGATAAAATTCAATTACTTCCGGGAAGATTATACGTTCTTCTAAAGCAGATCACCGTCTCACAAACGAACCACGCTCACAATTTCTCCAAGTATTCTAGCCCCACGAACAATTGTTCTTCCACGATCACCGCGAGCAATTCGTGCTGATAACGTGTTGTAAATCGCCCTAATGGTATTGCTTTTCGGTTTGATGATTGTGGAAAATAAAGTATAGCAACAATAATAAAGGATAGAGAGAGAATGCAAAGACAAAAATCTGTAGAGAGAAATTAATAAGGGTGTAAATATGGGGGAGGGAGAATTCCATTATATAGGTGAAAAACCACCGGGAGTTACAAGAGAAGTTACACAAGAGGTTATTCTACCACTAACACATAATGGGAAGACATGAGGTAGGTTAGTGATTTAGTGGGAAGTTGGGTGGTTGTGTTAGGAAACCCCACACACATATTATTTACAGCAAATTTCGAGTTTTCCTAATATTTAAAGAAAATGAATAACTAAAACATTAATTCCAAGTTTTCCTAATATTTAGGAATGTCGTTCCATCTTACAAAGACTGCAATCGGATCCTACACCTGGTGAAATACACCATGTGGTGCAACTGCCCGTTTTTTTACTAAAGAGAAGGCTCAACCTTTTGTTGGTGCAATTATTCGTTTTTTGCTAAGTGTGGGTGAAACCATAGTCTCCACGTACATATATTCTTATGTAGTAACCATTGGAAGCAAGAGTCGTCGCGCGCATTTCTTTTACGCCACATTATATATAAATACATTATCACGTTGAGACCGAGATCTGAAAAAGATATCCCCATAACCACGAACTCCGACCAATTCCATGTTTCGTACATTACCACCAGGGTGTGGTATATTCATCAACGTAGTCCACTACTCTTTAATATCTCGAGTCTCGATAGCAATCATCGACCGAAAGGCTCATGATGACTCTTGCACAGGATCAATATTAGTGAGTCGTTTGCCACATGGCATAATCACTAAGACAATCTTGTACACATCACCGGGTGATTCCCGTTCAAACCAGGACATGATATATATGCTCGAAATTCGGTTCTATATTCAAATCTGCGGTTTTTGATACTCTTGTAGCTGGATTCCGCATGCAGATTCTCGTATTGTGAGCATTGTAATTATCCATATAACAGACGAGGCCATCGGACCCTCCGATTGCGATCTGGAATGAAGATCCTACGGTGGGAAGGGCTCGAAATCGATTTCTTGAGATGCAAGTTAATAATATTGTAGATTTCTTTTTTTGTTTTTTATTTAAAACCGTTTTGCAAAATTATATTAATATTTAGATGGTTTTGTGCATAGGTTCCTAACCAACCATCTTTATTATTCTAGGTTTATCGGTTATATCTTTTTCACCAATAAGCCCATCCCCTTAATATTTATTATAAATAAAGAAAACATTCATGTATATGGCAAAATTACCCACAACCCTTTATACCAAATTCTTAATTGTAATCCCAATTTAATCAATTTTGACCACAAAAATCCAATTTTGACTTTTTTTTTCAAAAAAAAAAATTTTTTTACCGCCGGATTCCAGTGTTGACTTTTCTATATTTTTTTTCCTGGTCTTCTTTTTCCGCAGCCGGTCTCCGGCGTTGACTCTTTTTTTTTTTTTTCTGGTCTTTTTTTTTTCCGCCGCCGGATTCCAACGTTGACCGCCGGTCTCCGGCGTTAACTTTTTTTAGTGTTCTTTTTTGTTTTTTTTTTGTTGTTTTTTTTTTACGTCCGCCGCTAAACGTTGACCGTAATTGTGCTGTCACTGACAGTAAATTAACGTAATTATACTATCAATCAATGACAGTATATTAACGTAATTGTATTGTCGTTGACAATACATTTATGTAATTGTTCTGCCGTTGACAGTAAATTAACGTAATTTTTTTTTTTTTGTTTGATTTGTTGACAAGTCAACGTAATTATATTATTGTCGTTGACAGTAAAATAAATGTAAACACAATAATATTACTATCAACAGTATCAATATTATTATTTTTTTGGGTTTTTTATTTTGTTTGAGTTATTTACGGAGTAACGTAATAATATTACTATATATTATTGTAATATTACTGTAAACACAATAATATTACTGTGGTTGACGGTAATATTACTGTTGTTATAGTAATATTGCTGTCAACCACATCAATATTATTATTTTGTTTGGATTTTTTTGTTGTTTGAGTTATTCACGAAGTAACATAATAATATTACTGTCTATTATTGCAATATTACTGTGGTTGACGGTAATATTACTGTTGTTATAGTAATATTACTGTCACTCACAATAATATTAATTCTTTTGACTTTTTATTATGTTTAAATTTGTTGAACGATCAACACAGTAATATTACACTATTACACAATAATAACTGTTTGCGTTGAACAGTGAAATTACAGAACAAATCCCTGCAGCTTTACAAAACAACCGTTTAATCGTCCTAACTGTATTAATTTAAGAAAAAAACCTGATACATAATTCGATTCTCACTCTGATTGAACAACGAACTTCGATTCGGAGAGAGTTGTTAAAATAGTCACTACTTTGCCGAAACAGTACTATCGGCTGGGTGGAGTTGTGCACGCATTTGTTGCAAGAGTGTCTCTTCAATACTGTCAGCAAAGCTCGACATATTCCGCCGCAAGTGCACGCTCAACGAGTTTGCCACTTCCTAATCAATCATATTAATATATATAAACACTCTATATCACATATAAATATATATACACAACCCATATTCAAGCATATATCCAAGCGTTTTTAGTACCATGAAATATATAAACACAGCCTATATTACAAATACAACAAATACAGTAAAATCTCGAAAAATTAATAACATCGCATAAATAATAATTTCTACCGGTCCCGAGTCGGTAAAAGTGTACTAAATTATTAGCTCGATAATTTAATATTTCGCTAAATTAATTAGATTTTTTTTTAGTCCAGACTGTATTAATATTTCGCTTAAAGGAATGTTATGTCACAAGCTCAAACATAATTTCCTATTAATGTTAATTTATTCATTACAAATCTGAAACAGAAAGAAATACAAAAAACGCTGTTCGGTTAAGAAATGCACGTCCAATGTGTAGCTATCTATTCCTTGTGAAAGTGCAATCAAATGTAGACATATATACATACATATGTAAATTATAATATGATTTCTATTCAGCTTATCTCAAGAACCAAACGAGGCCTTAACACTATTATAGCCAATATTTTGCAACTTATCTAATTCGAACTTACTTGAAGGCTAGTTTATCTAATAAACTAATTATTCGCTAAAATTTAGGATCAAACTAACAATATTTCATCATCGAGGGGCCATTGCTATATTACAGATTCAAAGGTACTAAGCTATATTAGATCCGGTTCCCAACATTAAATAAAACAATAATAATTAGCTGCCTATGGAAAATAAATAAATAGGGTCAATTACAAACACCCCCCTGAGGTATGGTCAAATTACAAAAACCCCAACTATGATTTTTTCTTACACCTCCACCCTTATGGTGCCAAATTCAACATAATCATCTAGATTCCGTGGAATGTGCTCTACTTTGTACTCGTTTTGTGTAAAAATACAGTTTCCAATGCACCACAAACTGATATATACAAGTTAAAAATCACATATTATGATCATCTTGTTTCATAATGTAGAGTTTGAATGGTATAAAACGGGTACAAAAGTGATAATATTTCATATAATCTCGAAGATTCCACTAAATTTGAGGAGCTGAGGGGGTGGTTGTAATTATCCAAACAAGAGGGGTGTTTTTGTAATTTGACCATACCTCAGGGGGTGTTTGTAATTTACCCTAAATAAATAAAATGAAATTTCACCACTTACCACAATCTTGCAGAGGAAGCTCAACGAAATTTCTTTAGAGTTCCGAGTCGTGCTTTTGAGAGATATTAGCTCCAACGGCAAATATGATAATGGCCAGTCTTGAGGCAACTTTATGAAAGCATCGACACCACCCACCACATGAGCTACTATTATGTCTTCTCTGTCGAGGTACTCAAACGAGTGCCTGAAAACAATAACATGAAAAACAATTTGATAAAAATAACATTGATTTAGAAAAGGAAATAGTTATCCGCATTTCCATCCCCTTTAGCTACATGCAAATTCAATATCATGAGCTCGATAACATAACAAGAAAGTGCTTGTAGGAACAAATGCAATAGTAGTAGGTGAGAAACAAGATGGAAAATAAATTAGGAGAATTAAACTAATGTGATAAAAGTAATATTAACAGTAAATATTGGGATACCAAATTAATTTACTCTTTGTGAGTTATTTATACGAAGGGTGAGTAGCGAGTACATAAAGAAAGTGAAATGGAGATCTAATATATATTGGTAAAAGTTAAAAATGATTTTTTCTGTCGCCAGAAACGGTTATGACTTTAACAAAACTGTCATAATGAACAACACTTACAAATAAGTTTTGCAACGAGGTAAATTAGGTAGCTTTCGTTTAGTTACTAATCCCCAATTGTCCTTTTAAATTACTAGAAGGATAAGCTGAAATACTATGCGGTCAAACTCAAAACAAGCGTACAGACTGATTGTAACTAACCTTGATTTATTTGCATTGTTGACCACGAATCGTCTAAGTGAGGAAAGAGCAATTCTGTCTTGCACCCTTCTCACGAAAAACTCCAACGAAGACCTGGTTTCAGTAATTGAGAATGTCTGCCTGGAAGTACCAAAACAAAGCACAAATCAGAGCTGACAATCAAGAATCTACATAAAAATATAAAAATGAAAAATATAAAAAAAATAAAATAAAGTCAAATTGTAATGGGACTTAGAATTCGGAATTTCTGATTGAGCCGAAAGGAAAATTTGAAATGGGAGTTAAAAAGCTGTTCCAATGGGCCTAACATTTAGTTCTCTTTCCAAACACATGCAAGTTCATAAAATGGCTATTATATCTAGGCAGTACTACGATTAAAAGGTACATAACATTCTATTTATCGAAAAATGAGTTGCAATTACATAATCACAAAAGCCTTATTTAATACTTAAAGAGTTAACATGTCAGTCTCTATTTAACAAATCACCAAAATAATATATAGCACTTGTCCACTTTCAACTCTGTAACCACACTGCAATAATAGAAGCAAGAGTAACAGAAAAAGTACTCGAGAAAGTTGCGAACCTGCAACTTTTTGTAGCGTCAATAACTTCACCAATGTATACATCATTAGGCAAGATCTGCACACAACCAAAAAGGAAGCAATGATTAATGCATATTAACAAGGAGTAAGTTTTCTCATCGAAATATAGTAACTTGCAATAGCTCAGAAAAACATCCTTTCGCGGTAAAATGACACACATCGGTTATAGGCTACAGACACGTAAGAGTCATACAAAAACTTGCAGATAGTACAATTCAAAATCATTTAGAAGATACTTTACCTCAGCACTCTTTAATTCGCAGGTTCCATCCATGGTTTCGATTACCAATTCGTGGTTCATTTCTAGTGGTTCGATTATGTTTTCTATTTCTTGCTGACGCAGCACAGTTTCTAAATATGGGATGCACGTCTTCAACGATAATCTGATGATGTTTCCTTCAATTTCAATTACTCTAAGACCTGTCAATGCGTCCTCGATTTTCTCAACAGCTTCAAACCTGATAAGACAAAAAAATCATCGTTTACCAATAGGTGAAGACGAACTAGGGAATATCAAGTCAATTTTTTTTCGGAAAGGAGCACAAGAAACCTTTTAAAAGTAGCATCAAGATCCTGCAATGTCTTCAAAGTCGTCGTGTTCGTCTCAATCTGCCGACTCAGTTCTAACATCTTGACAGGGAGAACAAAAACGGGGTCGGCAGGTAAGTTCACTTGATAATCAATTTTGTACGCCGACAAAGAAATGAAGAAAACAACTTCTAAAAATTAAGTTTTTCGACGTCAGAGAAGAACACATTTTTAACACCATGACGCTATATGTAATAACAACTAAGAAATCAAGTGTTTTGGTAGCACGACTATGCGGTTGCAAATTTTTATTATTGTACACATGAATAATAGTCATAGTTACAGAACTTTATGAATAGTAAGGGTTGAAGCCAAACCTTAAACCTCGAGCCACGTTTGTCCGAAAAGTCAGTCTGATCATCTGTAAGGCAAGAGACATCTATTTGCATATCCTCTTTTTCTCTCTGAGAATTCTGCAACAAAAATATCAAAAAAAATCGATAGTAAAATTTATTGAATCTGATTGTTATCCGGTTATCTATTACACTTAACATTTGAATTTGTTCACTTAAACTACCAGTTGCTAACCAAGATAATTTTAGGATTTTCTTATAAACTGCAGTCTTTTAGACATTTTAGAACTACTCTATAGCCAATGTTTGTTCTACGAGTGATTCAAACCAAGTAACAAAGTTGCAACAAACCTGCGACTCGATAAGCTCCAACGAACAACGTAATTTCTCCAGCTCGCTCTCCATTTTATCACAATCTACACGTTGAGGAAAATGAAATCAAATGGAATACAATTGTAATTGCAGTGATAACAAAACAAGAAGACCAAAAGAAAAATTATCACAAATATTAATAATATATATCCTATACATGTATATAATGTCCTTACGAAACTAACGACAACTCTCCTGCCGCATGTCCCATTTAAAGTGATATTGTGTTTTACATTACATCAACCGCCATTTAACTTGAATAATTGAATTGATTATGAAATATAGGGTAACTTACGACCACCCCCTGAGGTAAGGTCAAATTACTAAAAAGTCCTCATGTTTGAGTAATTACAACCATCCCCTCAACTATGAGCCTTCTTATACGTCCATTCTTATGGTGTCAAATTCAACAGAATTTTCTAGCTTCCGTGGAATATTCTCTAGTTTGTACTCATTTTGAGCAAAAATGCAGTTTCTAAATCAGATATTTACAAGTCAAGAGACACGTCTTATGATCATCGTATTTCAAAATGTGGAGCTCAAATGGGGTAAAACGGGTACAGACTAGAGAATATTCTACATAATCTAGAAGATTCCACTAAATTTGACACTGTAAGGGGTGGACGTGTACGAAAATTCATAGTTGAGGGGTGGTTGTAATTACCCAAACATTAGGGGTTTTTCGCAATTTGACTTTACCTCAGGGGGATGAGCGTAATTTACCCGGAGAGATAGAGTTAGCAAAAATAATCCTAATTTCACAAATACACTTCCAACCTTCCACACATCTCCTTTGAAGGTCCTCAATTTCAGCATCTATGCCGGCATTTTCGCCCTCGACTTCACCCACCTCTTTCTTCAATTCCCCGAAGAATTCATCTACAGTATAAAGAATCCCACTCATGAATACTTCAAAAAAAAAAATCATATACAACACTTAATAGTAAACCAAAATGAATCTTACCAAGTTCTCCACTTGAAAATGAATTTAAATTCGAAGAGCACTCCGAAAAAATCCAATTGATTTTGCTCTGGCCAAAAAACAAAATCGCAATTTTACCAACCCCACAAAGATTTCAAAAAAACAAACCCCTAAATTGAAAATAAAATAAATGAATAAAAAAAATTCAATTTACTAACCTCAAGCTCGAATGCGACGTGGTTCAGCAACTTCTCCTCCTCGTCGGGGCCGAGTACGGAATCTCCATTAACGTTTCCGAGTTCCGAAATTCGACTGCAAAAACTCGAAAAGAAATTACATAAATAAACAATTTGGGGGATTTTGAGTGTGTGTTTGTGTGTGAAAATTAGACCTTCGGAGATTAGCAAGATCCATAGCTTGAGAGGAAGAGCAGGTACTCCAATTTCTTGTTTCGCTAAATCTGTACTCCAATTTTTCGAGTATCTTCTGCTGCTTAAAATAAAGGAGAATTTATTGTTCACATTTCTGTGGAATTATCGGCTAAAGAATATTTCTGTGTTTTTTGAACTCCCGCCAATGGCAGCAAGGAAGAAATGGACTGAGGCCCAAAGTCCGTCTTCGGACCAAGGCCCAATTTTGAGGAAGGGAAGAATTAAATGGCAATAAATGAAAAGAGTTTTGCTATTTTAGTGTGATTTTTTCCACTCGAGTGCAAAATAATTCATTTCTTTTTCAATTTTCCCAAATTCTCTCAACCATTTAATTTTGAAACTTTTCATATTGTATATTTTTTCTGACAATATCAGTTAGAACTTAGAGCACAACAAATATCAACACGGATGAAATTGACTTCGATTTTGAAGTGTAAATACGTGTTTTTTTTTTTTTTGTCAAATTTCAACATTTTCAGGCATTTCGTGTTATATTGCACGAAATTAAACATCTAATTTTGTGCAATACAACACGATTTTTTTTATTAGTTTTACACGAAATGCTACCTTTCATTATGTGTAGAAGTATACGAAATCCCTTAAAAAAAATTAATTTAATAAGCTTTATATTTATGCAGGAATAAGAACAAGAATCTTACGATCATAGTCACTTCGTTTAACATGATGTCGTGTTTGATAGTAGAAAGGCGTTTAACTATGTGGGCAAACGACACAACAATTTGTCATCGTCATCAACTGATTAATCCTTGTCAAATAAGAAAATACCATGTTTTGATGCGTGTAAGATATTAATCTGGATGACGTGGGCGATTTTAGAAACATTCTTGTCCGTTCAGGTTACTTGGCAAAAAGTCAGAGGATGATGGGCTATTTCAGAAACATTCTTGTCCGTTCAGATTACTTGGCAAAAAGTCAGAAGATGATGGATTGTGGCGATTGAGTGCGACTGATGGTAATCATAACCATCGGTCGCATTTTGATGCTTAACTTATATTTTGGAATGTTTAAAGTTGTGATGTTGTGTTTTGTACTTTAATATTTAACTTATGTTCTAGAATGTTTAAACTCATAATGTTGTGTTTTGTATTTTAATGTTTAACTTATGTTTGAAATGTTTAAACTTGTAATGTTGTGTTTTATATTTTAATATTTAAACTTGTCCGTAGAAGCAAAATTCATGAATTTAGTCAACTATAATACATAAGAAGATCAATGGACTAGTAGATTAAAATACAAAACAAACTAGTAAACTAGTAAATTAAATAGTTTCTAATAATACATAAAAAAAAAAAAAAAGTAAATTAAATAGTTCCTAATAATACATTAAAATAAAAATCTCTAAACTACCATTTCGCTCTCCTCGGTGGCTGCACCTCATCACCACCATCATTGTCGTCGTCGTCGTCATGGTCAATTCCAATATATCTGGCTATGGGACGCATAATATCTCCAAGGTCGGCGCGTAAATCGGCGAATTGTTGCCTCCATTCATGTCCAGTGCTCCTCGTGATCGGGTACAAAGCACGTAATATCTGATAATAAGCCGGCTGGTCTGGTCGCCTTACATTCTCTCGATGCCGTACAACTGGGCCTAAATCCGAGTTGGTGATATTCAGATGAGTCTGATTGGTGTACAACCCCATGTAGTGCTAGTCGATTTCTCCTCTTTGTCGTGTCGTCTTGTAGTTGTTACTCCGAATGAAATGAGCCTCGAACACGTCCCACATGCCACACGAAAATGGATAGTTAACCTTGTATGATGCACCTCCTTTCGGACCGCGTAAACATGGCTCGATCAATAAAATCAAGCCGCGTGCAATATTCTTAAACCACCCGAACTATCAGACACAACGATCAAGCATATACGGTTGTACCCCTCACATTGACTGGATCGTGCCATGATACAAAGAACGAGGGATTGTCTCGTGTATATATCTGTAGGCGATCAGAAAGAATAGAAAAACATTATATTTCACCATATTGAATACGTTACAAGATGTTTATTTAAATAGGAATCATACAAAAACTAAACTAGGAAATAAAAATTTGTGCAGTGACTAATTCCTAATTATTCTGATATTGAGATATTGACTTGCATATTTACACACCTATCAAATCCCTTAAAAGTTTGTATCTATTAAACATAATATTCTCTAATTAAACACTCCCCCTCAAGCTGGCTTGTGGATATCCTCCATAGCTAGCTTGCTTCTTAAAACTTCAAATTATTTTTTTTGTAATCCTTTAGTGAGGATATCCGCAATTTGTTCAGTAGAAGGTACATAATGAATGCAAATCATGCCATATTCGAGTTTCTCATTTATAAAACGTCTATCAATTTCAACATGTTTGGTTCTATCATGTAGAACTGGATTGTGCGCAATTGAAATGGCTGCCTTGTTGTCACAACAGATTCTCACTTGAGAAGAACTTGTGACCTTCAAATCCTCTAGAAGTCTTTTTATCCACATAACTTCACAAATTCCATGGGCAAGTGCTCTATACTTAGCTTTGGCACTACTCGTTGCTACAACATTTTGTTTCTTGCTGCGCCAAGTAACAATGTTTCCTCCAACAAAAGTACAATAGCCTGATGTAGACCGTCTATCTGTTATACGTCATGCCCAGTTTGCATCTGTATAGGCTTCTATTTGAAAATGATCTCATTTCTTGAACAATAACCCTCTACCAGGAGAGCTTTTTAAATACTTAAGAATTCTATATACTGCCTCAAAGTGTTCATGTCCAGAAGAATGCATAAATTGACTTACCATACTAACTACAAATGCTATATCGGAGCGTGTGTGAGATAGATAAATCAACCCTCCTCTGATATCTTTCTCGATTTACTATGTTCTCGGGTTTGGCCGCTTCCAACTTCATACTGACTTCAATTGGGGTGTCCACAGCTTTACACCCAAGTAGCCATGTCTCATTAAGTAGATCAAGTACATATTTTCGTTGATTTACGAAAATTCATTCTCTTGACCTGGCAAATTTCATCACGAGGAAATATTTTAGAACTCCAAGGTCTTTAACTTCGAAGTCTCCAGCTAGCCTCTTCTTTAATCTGACCAATTCATCTAAATCATCAGCTGTCAAAATGATGTCATCCATATAAACGATCAGCACTGCAATCTTTCCGTTCTCACTGTGTTTGAAGAACATAGTATGATCTGCCTGGCCTTGACAATATCCATATCTCTTGACAACTTTTCCAAATCGTTCAAAACATGATTAGGGGATTGTTTTAAGCCATATACGACTTTTTTAGTTTGCACACTTTGCTGGCTTGGGCATGGTTTCATTCAAATCCTGGTGGCAAGCTCATAAATACTTCCTCGTCTAAGTCTCATTTCAAAAATGTATTTTTAATGTTTAATTGGTATAATGGCTAATTAGAGTTGACTGCCAGAGATAATAGTACTCGGATGGAATTAATTTTTGCTACAGGGGCAAATGTTTCATGATAATCAATACCATGTTTTTGCGTAAATCCTTTAGCCACAAGTCTCGCCTTATATCTTTCCCCACTACCGTCAGCCTTACACTTAATAGTGAAGACCCATTTACACCTAACAACTTTCTTTCCTCGGGGTAAATCAACCACCTCCCAAGTTCCATTTTTTCTAAGAACATTCATCTCCTCTTGTACTACTAATTTCCAATTCGAATCACCCAGTGCTTCCTGAATACTCCTTGGAACAAATAACTGTGAAATCTTTGAGGTAAAGGCCCTATGTCTATGAGAAAGTTTTTTATAGGACAATTTTTTGGCAATAGGATATTGAGTACAGGTTCTGGTTCCTTTTATATGGCTATTGGGATGTCAAGGTCAGTAGGAATTTCACTTGAAGGCTCTGCATGTTCAGACATAATAGGAGTAACTGTAGGTAAGTTATGATTGTGTGTACCTTAAACATTCAGAGAATCATTGCTCGGGAATTCAAACTGGCTTTGCTGAAAAACAATAGCAGGCTCTACCCTTTATACGATTATTTCTTCTAGAATAAACTTAAAGTTCAAGATTTGGCTCTTGTGAAGCCACTGGTAGGATTTCTTCCTCTAATAGAGGTAAAGTAGTGTTCGGCATATTAGTGCTACGAGATTCCAGGTTTTCCAATACTTAAGTATCATTTCCTTGTTTAAGAAAATCAGTATTTGGAGATACCAAAGGAATAGTTTTTGGTAAGGAAATAACATCCCAAAATTTTGATTCACTTTTTTTTTTCTCCCTCTGAAGAATTTTTTTCTCTCAAAATAAGGACGATTACTAACAAAATATTTTTTGTTGCTGGATTAAAGCATTTGTACCCTTTTTTATTTGGGGCATAACCAACAAAAACACATTTTTCAGCCCGATGGTCCAATTTTGACCGAAGTCGGTTAGGTAGATGACGAAAGCAGTGTAACCAAACACTTTTACAGGAAAGAATAGAAGAAATTTGGGCTTGAGGAAATAGATTTTTGAAAAAATCTAAAAGGTTATTGTATTTAAGAAACACGAGTTGGCAGCCTATTAATCAAATATGATGCTGTCAAAACAGCCTCTCCCCACAAATATTTTAAAACATTCATTCAAAACGTTATAGCACGAGAAACCTCGAGTAAATGTTTATTTTTTCTTTAAGCAATGCCATTTTGTTGCGGAGAATCGATGCAAGAGGATTGATGAAAAACTCTCTTTTCTTTCAGAAAAATTCCTAAAACCTCATTGAAGTATTACATGCCATTATCAGTGTGAAGAATGCCAAGTTTAGTTTCAAATTGGCTTTCAATCATCATATAAAAATCCTTAAATAGTTTTTTAACCTCAGATTTTTCATGCATCAAATACACCCAACACAAACGAGTATGATCATCAATAAAGGTCACAAACCATCTTTTCCCATAAATAGTGGTGACCTTAGAGGGACCCCAACATCACTATGGATTAAGTAAAATTGTTTCAATGATCGATAAGAATTTGGAGGATAAGAAGCCCAATGAATTTTAGATAGAAAACAACTTTCACAATAAAAAGGTGAACAATCCAATCCTTTAAACAAAAGAGGAAATAAGTTTTTAAGGTACGGGAAACTATGATGCCCTAGTCTAAGATGCCATAACATTATTTGTTTTATATTAGAAGTAGAACTGATACTACTCAAGCCTTGAACCTTTTTATTATTGAAGATATCATCATAAAAATAGTAAAGATCATCTATCACCTTAGCACTGCC